CGACGGCTGGAATTTAAGTTTGCTCTGCCCAACCCACAAAAAAAGACGCCCCCGCCATTCGCGCCAACTACCGCGGGATCAGCCTACTAAGCATAGGTTTTAAAGTCTTATCGAGCGTATTGTGTGAAAGACTGAAGCCCGTCGTGAACGAACTGTTAAGGCTTTATCAGTGCGGCTTTAGAACTGACAAATCCACCTTGGACCAGGTATTCACAATACGCCAAATAGTGGTAAAGACGCGCGAGAAAAGGGTCGACACTCACCACCTATTTGTCGAATTCAAAGCCGCTTTTGATAGCACTAAAAGGAGTTGCCTATATGCCGCGATGTCTGAGTTTGGCATCCCCTCGTAACTGATACGGCTGTGTAAAATGACGTGGAGAAATACGACCAGCACCGGGTTTCAGACAGGTCGACTCCCTTTCATGTGATTTCTTTAATTTGATGCTGGAGAAGACAATAACAGCTGCAGAACTTAACCGCCCAGAAATTTTTTTTTACAGGAGCGTACGCCGATGACATCGACATCATCGGTAGAAAGAACCACAAAGTCTGTTCTGCCTTTTCAAAGTGGGATAAGGAAGCAAAGCGAATGAGTCTGGTGCTAAACGATGACAAAACCAATTATCTCCTGCCATCAAGCAAACAGCCAGCGCATTCTCACCTTGGTACCCACCTCACTGTTGATATTTATAATTTCGCGAAATTATAGAACTTCGTTTATTTGGGAACCAGCATTAACAACGATAATAATGTCAGCATCGAAATTCAACCCAGAATCGCTCTTGTCAACAAGTGCTACTTTGGACTGAGTTGGCAATTAAGGAGTAAAGTCCACTCTCGACGCACGAAAACCACACTCTACTCTATAAGTCCCTCATCATTGTTGGTATATGTGTTGGTATATGGCGCAGAAGAATGGAGATTTTTCGGAAGATTTACGGGCCTTTACGCGCTGGCGATGGCGAGTACCGCAGATGATGGAATGATGAGCTGTATGAGCTTTATAATGTCATAGACATAGAGCAGCGAATCAAAATACAGCGGCTCCCCTGGCTTGGTCATGTCATTCGAATGGGCTCCGACGCTCCAACTCTGAAAGTATTCAACTCGGAACCCGCGGGCGGTAGCAAATGAAGAGGAAAGCCCATACTGCGATGGAAAGACCAAGTGGAGAAAGACTTCGCTTCACTTGGCATTTCCAATTGGCGTCAGTTGGCACAGAATAGAAACGGCTGGCGTAATTTGTTGAACTCGGCCAAAATCGCTTAGGCAGTTACAGCGCCAAATAAGAAGAAGAAACCTACGTTATTACAAAACGGCTCTCTTTTATCTCTAAATATCTCTACCTTTGTTATCTAAATATCAATGTTTTGGTATGAATGGATGAGTATTGATGCCAGGAGCTTCCGGTGACCAAATCTCATTTTTGGCACAAATGTCAATTGCGAGGTTTTGCAGAACCACAATACGTGGTTTTGCACTTTAAACGACGATATGTATAAGTAAATATTGGAAACATGCATTTCTCTAACTACAATACAGAAGGCTGCATTGATTGGAATTGAAAAAGATGAAATTTCTCTTAATTTCACTACGGCCTAACACATTGTAAAATATCGGAAACCATCGATGTATCGATGCTACTCCAAAAAATTTGCATCTTAGTTCTGTAAATATCGCGGAAGAACATGGTAAAAGCCTTGATTAAACAAGAACCTGCCATTTGGAAAACAAAAAGTGACAATTATAAAAATAAAATTGAAAAATGTGTTTATATCGACACATACATAAGTACTTTGACTGAATTCGCAGTGATTCAAAACGGATGCATAGACCAAATTTCAATAAATATAATCAATTGAATTAAAATACAAGAAAAAATCTTATAGTCATTTAGTAATTTATTCAAATTTTATTACAATTGTTTCGATGTCTCATAGACATCATCATCAGACAGAGTCAGAATTTCAACTAAAACTAAAACAAAAAATGTTATGTGAATGCGTCAAATGGAAGAAAGAAAATGCGTTGACCAATACGTACATAAATACAATACATATTAATAATATAATAATAGATTGGCGCTTACACATATGTTAGTGTTTGGCCGAGCTTCTCCTCCGATTTGTGGCGTGCGCCTTGATGTTGTCACACAAAGCGGAGGGACCTACAGTTTTACGCCGACTCCGAACGGCGATTGTATTTTTATGAGAAGCTGTTTTTCATGGCAGAAATACACTCGGAGGTTTGCCATTGCCTGCCGAGGGACGACCGCTGTTAAGAAAAAAAACCGTTTTCTATATATTTTTGATGTTGCTTTGACTTGGGCTTGAACCCAGGCATTGTGGAGTGGAAGCGCGCACTGCTTACCATTACACCACAGCGGCCGACACTACATATTACATACATAAATACAACACTAGTTTACTTTAAAATCAAGAAGAGTGAATAGAGAAGAGAAATGTGGACCTACGTCGCGATTTACATTGTTTTTCCTATGTACAGTCAGTCAATAAAGTTTAGGTACAGCGAATTTTTTACAATACGGGCAACTATTTTTTAAGTATTTTATTTTTCGATAATTTTTTATAAAAATATGGTTAACGATACAACAAAAACCCAAAAAATCAAAGTTCCAAACCTTGTGCAAAATTAAAGAAAATTCTGCAAACGATCATTGAAATATTGCACTTTTTATTTACGCTCTCTAGAAAAAAGCCCATTCAATTTTAGTATAATAAAGTGCAAGTATGAGGAAGCTAGGACTTACCATTGATTTTTAGCAATTTTTTTTTGTTGGAGGTGTCGCTCATTTTCTCCATATAAAATAATGTTTTATAATTTTTTTATATGGAAAAAATGTGCGACACCTTCAACAAAAAAAAAATAATAAAATGTGCAATATTTGAATGAAATTTTGCCGAATTTTCTTTAATTTTGCACACGGTTTGGAACTCTGAATTTTGGGTTTTTGTTATAGAATTAGCCATGTTTTTATAAAAAAGTATCGAAAATGAAAATATTTAAAAAATAGTTGCCCGTATTGTAAAAAAAATACAGAGAAGTTCGTTGCGGAATGAAACACAATCGTTCGTATCGCAAATCTTAATGGCTACACCACGTCAACCATAGATCGATTAATTGATAAATATTCAAAACGCAAATCAAAACGTCTTGTATCTTCGTTTTTTGAAAAGAAAAATGATATAAACCGTTGTTCTATGTTGTACAATTCCAATAATTTTAGTTGTTTTTCATGTTTTAAAGAAAGAAAATATTTTGTTAGCTCCAAAAAGTAATACGAAATTAAAATCATTGTTGTGTTCTGCAAAAGATAAATGTGTTAGTATTGAAAAACCATGTGTCTATATAATACGAAATTAAAATCATTGTTGTGTTCTACAAAAGATAAATGTGTTAGTATTGAAAAACCATGTGTCTATATAGCTAATTGTGATTCTTGTCATTGTGTTTATGTAGGTCAAACTTGCCGGTGTTAAAAAATTAGATTAAAAGAACATTTAAATAGTATAAAAAATATCGAACCATATAAAAGTGGCCTGGCAGAACATATTTTGTTGGAAAAGCATAAAAGCAATAAAAATAATTTTAAATTAATCGCCTCTGAATTAAATCGCAACTGCCTAAACATTTTGGAATCTATGCCCATTTATTTACACAGGAAAAACAATGTAAATAGCGACGTAGGTCCATTTCTCTTCTATATTCACTCTTCTTGATTTTAAAGTAAACTAGTGTTGTATTTATGTATGTACATATGTATTGTGCTTATGTATGTATTGGTCAACGAATTTTTTTTCTTCCATTTGACGCATTCACATCACATTTTTTTTTAGTTTTAGTTGAAATTCTGACTCTGTCTGATGACGATGTCTATGAGATATCGAAACAATTGTAATAAAATTTAAATAAAATACTAAATGACTATAAGATGTTTTCTAGTATTTCAATTCAATTGATCATATATATATGTCATTTATTGCTAAAAATTCATTTTAAAATTAAAAATTAAATTTCAATAAGCTTTGAAATTCAAAAGTGATTTTTTCTGGCATTTGTTTTTAAATCGGTTCTTTATTTCTCACATCGGTTAGAAAACACGTGTAAACGCATCAGTCAAAAAGGGATGATTTTCTTAATACAGCCCGCTTTTTATTTGAATTAATATTATATGTATGTAATAAATTTCAATTATTGTTTGCCCCCATTTTCTGACAAACTTATTATCAAACAAATGTCGAATAAAAACAGCGGATTTTGTTTACTTTAGAATAGGGTTTCATGGAGTGCGCTATAAAGACAGACAGAGGTTTAAAAGATTGAAAGAAATGTGTGCTGAGTCAAATCGGGTTTTTGTTAATGCGTTTCTGGCGTAGATATAAATAAGGTAATATATAAACTACAGAAATGCAATTACGTCATCCGCTTGTTTGTGACAGATGATTACCCTCTGAAGATCGAACGCATACCGATCGTAAACACAAGTGCGTCGTGTATGGCTAGTTTCAGGCATAATACATACATATGTATGTGCTGTGTTACTTATGAAATTCCTAAAAACTACACAATAATAATGGAATATAAGATTGCGTCGTCCTGGCCACGATAATTTTTCTTAAGAAAAAGTAAACAAAGCCGAATAGGAGGATAAAATAAACTGTCAAGGAGTAATTTTTTTAATATTTAATTTTTCGATTGTAAAAATATATGATTTGCAATAAAAATTTATAAATAAAATGTTAAAAAACGGTAATTTTTGTGAATTTCAGAGCTTCTGAAGCGTTGTTTACTTTTACTTGAGAGTTGTCAAAATTGACTAAACCAAAGTAGCGGTACCGCTGACGGCGCCACCTTTGTTCCCTACATCGTGTAAACTACATAATAATGTAGTACTCTATATGTATAACTGAAAGGTGCAATGATATGTATCTGCAGTCAATAAGTCAATGTATAATAAGGCGAACAAATCCGATTACCTGACATAGTGGTAGGAAAACTTCACCGATGGAATCGTCGCGTGAGAATCGGTCATAATCGAACACATGCAAATGTAGTACCTGTTAGAGAAAAAAGGTGAATTTACTTTAATGCAAGTTCGATATTTGGAAATTAAGTATTTTTAATTATTTAAGTTATAAACATATTAAAGTACACTAATATGGAGCGTTTGCGCCAAATATCCCAGGCGCGCTTAGTGGTGCAAAACAAGCTAGTTTTCGACTCGCTGGGAAGCAGACAAAAATGGGTATTCTAATTTCAATAGATTTTTGTACGGGCTATCTGATAGTGCTATGTTCCAAACGTTTTTCATTTTAACCATGAAATTTCAAAAATAATTTATTTGTAATTTTTCACCATCATTGTACTTTTTAGTATTGTTTTAAGACATCGTAATCGAAAGATGAGGTTTTATTACATAGAAAGCATTGTTAAAATAAATTTATGAAGCGTTTTAGGGCGCTAGACCAGTCGTAGTGCTTCGTCATGTAACGTCGGCTCTGTTTAGGTTTAAAATATAATTTATTTTTTAATGCATCATTATAGACGAATATTTAAAGAAGTTTTCAGAACTAAAATTAACCTAAAAAACTAAAGGCTGGTTTTCATTAGGTCAAAATCACTGACATCAAAAACTGCCTTCATCTGGCAGCTGTTCATTTGGAGTCAAATGCGTTTTCATTACATTTTAAAAACTGACCAAATGTCGATACCGCAGTGCATGTCAAAGACCGTCGTCAAATTTCGGTGTCAAATGATTGACATTCCGTTTTCATTACTGATGTCAAATGTGAAGTTAAATTTTTACAAAAAGTGTAGAATACCGACCCTTTAGCTATAGACAAACCAAAAATGTAACGGGATAGAACTCTTCATGCTGATTTCAATCTTACCAAAATTTTTTAGCGCATGTAAAAATTAAGAAGATGTAGGAGGTTAAGTAAAATTTTTCGATATATTGAAATATCAATATCTTATGATTTACATAACCGATTAAAAAACTAATGATGCCAGAATAAAGATGATTAGTTTATCTTTTAGTTGATGTACATAATTTTTATGATTTTTTTATATTTTTAAGTCAAAAATTCAAATTACCTTGGAATTGGTTTCCGAGATATTAAACACATAAAAAATAGGAAAGTTGAAGTTTAATCTGTTATATTTTCTTTGTTTTTTACTTGCCCCAAATAATTTTGATATGGTTGAAATCAACGTGAAAAGTTCTATCGATCTACATTTTTGTTTTTTTTTTTTGTAGCTAAACGGTCGGTATTGTAGCTAGAATCAGCTGACCGCATGGCAAACGAAATCAACATGTTGGCAAATGCATTTTGATTGTGAAATATGGTTGCCAGAATTGGTAACTTTCTACCAAAAGTGGTAACTTTTAAACGGTTTGGTAACATGGTAACTTTTATTTCATTTTGGTAACTTTTGCAACTAAATATCTATTTGCATTACTAGAAAGAAATGAATTATGTTTTGCATGTGCGTAATTATAAAAGCCCTTCGAGTTTCAGTGGCAGCACTACTGACACTTCTACAAAATTACTTCGATAAAATTAGAGTCATCTTATATTCGAATACTGGAAATATTTCAATTCCAGTGGCAGCACCAAGGGCTGCACTTCTAAAACAACTTTCGATATTTTGCGATAAATTTTGAGTTCTACCATCTCACATTTTAATAGTGGCCATCTGGGAATTTTCGGTAACGCCCATAAATCGTTTTGATTATTCCGGCACAAAAAAAAATGTCGCGTGCTTTTTACTAGACCCACCTACCGACATGTATTTCGACCCACTGAATTCAAATCTGAGGTCCGTTTGACACGTTCACTAAATTATGGAAAAGCGAAAAAATAGTAAAAAAATTTGCAATTTTCGCAATTTCCTCGAAATTTTGTACGAGTCAAACGGACGGTTAAAAGCACCCGCAACTTTTTTTTTGTGTGCCGGTGCCATTATTCCGTGAGTCGCAAATATCGGCACATTCCGAACGAAATGTGACACTGCAATTGGCACAACATCGAAACCGGTTTGTCTCCAAACCAAATTTGACAAGGGATGATGGAAAATCGCTCCACATTACATCATACTCCTACCCTGTCGGAAACAGCAACAACGNCCGCATGGCAAACGAAATCAACATGTTGGCAAATGCATTTTGATTGTGAAATATGGTTGCCAGAATTGGTAACTTTCTACCAAAAGTGGTAACTTTTAAACGGTTTGGTAACATGGTAACTTTTATTTCATTTTGGTAACTTTTGCAACTAAATATCTATTTGCATTACTAGAAAGAAATGAATTATGTTTTGCATGTGCGTAATTATAAAAGCCCTTCGAGTTTCAGTGGCAGCACTACTGACACTTCTACAAAATTACTTCGATAAAATTAGAGTCATCTTATATTCGAATACTGGAAATATTTCAATTCCAGTGGCAGCACCAAGGGCTGCACTTCTAAAACAACTTTCGATATTTTGCGATAAATTTTGAGTTCTACCATCTCACATTTTAATAGTGGCCATCTGGGAATTTTCGGTAACGCCCATAAATCGTTTTGATTATTCCGGCACAAAAAAAAATGTCGCGTGCTTTTTACTAGACCCACCTACCGACATGTATTTCGACCCACTGAATTCAAATCTGAGGTCCGTTTGACACGTTCACTAAATTATGGAAAAGCGAAAAAATAGTAAAAAAATTTGCAATTTTCGCAATTTCCTCGAAATTTTGTACGAGTCAAACGGACGGTTAAAAGCACCCGCAACTTTTTTTTTGTGTGCCGGTGCCATTATTCCGTGAGTCGCAAATATCGGCACATTCCGAACGAAATGTGACACTGCAATTGGCACAACATCGAAACCGGTTTGTCTCCAAACCAAATTTGACAAGGGATGATGGAAAATCGCTCCACATTACATCATACTCCTACCCTGTCGGAAACAGCAACAACGAAAATGAGGAAAACGGCACATGCAACAATTAATTGTAAGAAAAATATTTTCTAATAAAAAAAAAATATTATAATTGTCAATAGCATTTTCAATCTTGATAATTTATCAAGAAAATAGATTTAAACTTCTGTGCTAAAACTGGGAGTCCTATATTATAAAAATATTGAATTTATTAAGTCACAGAAACGGGCTGTAAGTATATACACATTTGTTGTGAAATATAGCAGTTTTATTCACTATATTTTTTACTCAGTGAAGAAGTGAAGATTTTGGTAGTGAAGATTTGGTAACTTTTGGTAACTTTTCTTAAGAGATTTTGGTAGAAAAAAATGTTGGCGAGTGGCAACCATGTTGTGAAATGCTGCTACATTAGCGGCGAGGGCCGTTTTCACTTGGCTGTCATTTTACATGACCATGCGTGGTGATATATGACAACAAACGCAAATGGCACCAGATGACAACCCGTTTTCATTATTTTGACAACATTTGACGTAGTAGATAGTTAATAATACTATGCCGACGAGGTATGCCATTAATTCTAACTCTAGTCTGCTAGACCTTTTTATCACCTCCAACTTGGCCCATATTTTGAAATTTGAACAAATAACATTTATCTCCGATCATGATTTAATTTTCTGTTCAGTAGATTTGGCTTTTTGTCGTCCAACTGTTAATGTATCTTTTATGGATCGTGATCTAAACTCTTTAAATACCAGTGCTTTGTTTTATGATTTGTCTAATGTGTGTTGGAATGATGTGCGATGTCTTCGGACAGTTGATAGTAAACTGGAATTTTTAAATAGTAATTTGATTTCGTTGTTTGATCTTCATGTTCCTCTACGTATTGTTCGTGCTGTAAACTCATCTTGCGAGTGGTATACTAAGGAGGTTCGCTCTACAATAAGAAAGCGAAACAAACTGCTTGCTAAATGGAGAAGAAATAATACCGACTTCAATTGGTGCCAATACCAAAGAACGTAGATAACAAGAAGGGACAACTCGTTATAATTATGGCGAAAAGTGCGCAACAGGGGCGTGCCTTCTCTTTTCATCCAATCAAAAAACGCACTAGGGCAAAAGAGAAGGCAACCCCCTGTTGCGCACTTTTCGCCGCAATTATAACGAGTTGTCCCTTCTTGTTATCTACGTTCTTTGCCAATACAAAGTAGCCCGGAATGAAGCTACTGATATCATTAGACAGGCGAGGCGTTTGTACCTCAACACTAAATTAAATCCGTTGCCTCCATCCAAAGATCTATGGCGCTACATTAAAAAACTTAATGTACATGGGAAAATGAAATCAAACTGTATTATTGATCCCGATATAATAAACGATTTCTTTGTTAATACCAGTAAAGCTTTTGACTTCCCTCTGTTTACGGATGCTACTCTGAATCAATCTTGTCCCGAAAAAGAGTTCCAGTTTGAAGGAGTAAATGAATTAGATGTGCTGAGAGCTATTATGAAAATTAAGTCTAACGCCATAGGAGAAGATGGAATCTCGTTAAAATTCATAAAAATTACCTTGCCATATATTATTAGCACTCTTACCCACATCATAAACTTTTGTTTCACAAGTGCTTCGTTTCCTTCTGCATGGAAAAGAGCGATTATTCTACCTGTAGCTAAAAAAAACAATTGCAATAGATCCATGCGATTACAGACCAATAAGTATATTGCCTGCCTTCTCTAGGTCTGCGAGTCCTTGATGGCGACACAGATTTCTGCTTTTGTTCAGGGAAATGAATTACTATCACCCTGGCAGTCGGGCTTTAGACCCCAACACAGTTGCTAAAAGTACTTGATGATATTAGAGTACAAGTTGACCAAGGAAACTTAACCCTTCTTTGCCTTTTAGATTTCTCCAAGGCCTTTGACATGGTAAATCATGACCTTCTCTTTCAAAAACTGAGACGACTTGATGGCTTTGCTGATAGTGCTGTGAAACTTATGACTAGCTATATAAAAGGAAGAACTCAAAGAGTAAAGGGAGAGAACGCTTGTTCTCAGTGTAGGGCTGTTACCTCTTGTGCTCCACAAGGATCTATCCTAGGCCCTCTGTTGTTTAGTCTTTTTGTTAATGACGTGTTTTC